GGGACTTCATCATTGGAGGTGGCTGACTGTTTATCATTGGGGGAGGCTGGGCATATTGGATTGGAACAGCATGCCAACAACGCTGGACTGGAGGTATTTCTAAGTCATTAAGGAATAGCACAGGTAAGATTATTCATTATTATTTCATCACTTCTACTAAGTACTAAAATTTCCCTCCCCTCCACTACTCTCTGCACATCTTTTGTAATAGTCATTTTGTTTTTGTTCTGTTGTTTTTTTCTTTGTCTAATCTTCTCTATTTTCTCTTTGCCGGGACTTCATCGTTGGAGATGGTGGACTTGGAGGTGGGTGGCTCTTCATCGTTGGAGGACTTGGATGAGGCTGGGCATATTGGATTAGAACAGCATGCTAACAACGCTGGACTGGAGGTATTTCTTAGTCATTAAGGAATAGTACAGGTAAGATGGTTTCATTATTATTTCATCCCTTCTACTAAGTACTAACATTTCCCTCCCCTCCGCTACTCTCTGCACATCTTTTGTAATAGTCGTTTTGTTTTTTGTTCTGTTGTTTTTTTCTTTGTCTAATCTTCTCTGTACTCTCTTTGCCGGGACTTCATCGTTGGAGATGTTGGACTTCGAGGCGGCTTGCAGTTCATCGTTGGAGGAGGCTGGGCATATTGGAATTGGATTGGAACAGCATGCCAACAACGCTGGACTGGAGGTATTTCTTAGTCATTAAGGAATAGCACAGGTAAGATGGTTTCATTATTATTTCGTCACTTCTACTAAGTACTAACATTTCCTTCCCCTCCCCTACTCTCTGCACATCTTTTGTAATGGTCGTTTTGTTTTTTGTTCTGTTGTTTTTTTCTTTGTCTAATCTTCTCTGTTCTCTTTTTGCCGGGACTTCATCGTTGGAGATATTGGGACTTCATCGTTGGAGATGGTGGACTTGGAGGTGGCTGGCTCTTCATCTAAAGAGTACTTAGATGAGGCTGGGCATATTGGATTGGAACAGCATGCCAACAATGCTGGACCTGGAGGTATTTCTTAGTCATTAAGGAATAGCACAGGTAAGATGGTTTCATTATTAATTCGTCACTTCTACTAAGTACTAACATTTCCCTCCCCTCTACTACTCTCTGCACATCTTTTGTAATAGTCGTTTTGTTTTTTGTTCTGTTGTTTTTTCTTTGTCTAATCTTCTCTTTTCTCTCTTTGCTGGGACTTCATCATTGGAAATGCTGGGACTTCATCGTTGGAGATGGTGTAGTTGGAGGTGGGTGGCTCTTCATCGTTGGAGTACTTGGATGAGGCTGGTCATATTGGATTGGAACAGCATGCCAACAACGCTGGACTGGAGGTATTTCTTAGTCATTAAGGAATAGTACAGGTAAGATGGTTTTATTATCATTTTGTCACTTCTACTAAGTACTAACATTTCCCTCCCCTCCGCTACTCTCTGCACATCTTTTGTAATAGTCGTTTTGTGTTTTGTTCTGTTTTTTTCTTTGTCTAATCTTCTCTGTACTCTCTTTGCCGGGACTTTATAGTTGGAGATGGTAGGACTTCATCTTTGGAGATGGACTTGGAGGCAGCTGCCTGTTCATCGTTGGAGGAGGCTGGGCATATCAGTTTGGAACAGCATGCCAACAACTCTGGACTGGAGGTATTTCTTAGTCATTCAGAAATAGGACAGGTAAGATGGTTTCATTATTATTTCGTCACTTCTACTAAGTACTAACATTTCCCTCCCCTCCCCCACTGCACATCTTCTGTAATAGTCATTTTGTTTTTTGTTCTGTTGTTTTTTTCTTTGTCTAATCTTCTCTGTTCTCTTTTTGCCGGGACTTCATCGTTGGAGATGGTAGACTTGGAAGCAGCTGGCTGTTCATTGTTGGAGATGGTGGAATAAGGACTTGGAGGCGGCTGAGGTTAGATGGTTTCATTATTTGCAAATAACTCTTAAGAAGGTACTTACAAATAACTCTTACAAACTTCTTACAAATAACTCGAACAACCTTCTAACCAATCAATCTAACAACTTACCAATCATCCTAAGAAATCATCATAACACTTAACTACTAAATAATAGAGCTGCCAACCCTTACGATTTTGGCATCAGGCGTACGAAATCAGTGTCTAAAATACGCCTTACGATATCTCTCTATATTCTTCCGAGTTCAGTTTTTCTCGTTCAAAGTTTATAATACCGGTATTTTCATAGCTGGCAGTCTAAAGTTTCTACTATTATAATATATTCATAATTTTTACAACGCTTGCATCATCGTTTCAGTTTTAGAAGGCCGATCACATTCATGTCAATGTTTTAAAGTACTGTAAATCACTTTTTATTCGAGAGAACTTTATTTTCACGTAATTAAGCGAGTCCGCCTGCTAGCGAAAATTTCGTTCTTGCGTGTATTTGTAATATTAATGTTTATATACAACAGAAACCACAGCTCTCGAAACTGTTGTCTCGTTAATAAATACCAAATAGCTAAGTCGCGAAAATAAGGTGTCGCAAAAATATGGTGATCTACAGTAAACAAAATGGTAACATGCCTCAGATGGCATGTCCACTTACCAAACATCTTCAGCGGCAGGGGGCCTAGGTGGTCCCTACACCCCGCCTTACTATTTGTCATTTTAGAATGTTGGCAGCTCTGAAGTAATCATTGTAACAAGCTACTAAAACTACTAACAGTCTGCTTAATGTTGTGTGATGCGTCTGGTGTGTTGGTGTTAGTGTCTGTGTGCTTGTCACCTCTCGCTTTCAGCCATCACCGCTGGCTAGCAGCAGTGCAAAAAGGGAAGGAATTTTATTGTCTTCCCCTGCCAGTACATAGCCTCTCCACAAGAAGTCCTATGCGATGCCTCCACGTGGAAGCAGACGGATACTGGACTCTTTTCCGTCCCAGGCTAAGTTCGCAAGGGCGCACAGAAAGATGAGTCTCAAAAGCCTTGCATGGCTGGCATCTCATCTCAGAGAGAAAACTGTTAATATAGTTATTTCATAAAATTTATGTTTTTTATAGTAGTATATAATAGTACATGTATTAAAATATTATTTTTAAAAGACAAGATAGGGTAAGTCCCCTTTTTGGCCTGATTTTAGTTGTTTTTCAGAATGATGCAACATTTTATCCATAAAAAAAACCTGTTGTCAGCACTGCCACAAAATGAGTATTGGTTTTAAGTTTTGGAATACACAGAGGTCACAGAGAGGTCAGAAATAGATCAATTTTCGATTTTTTCATGTTTATGCAAAGGACTTTATTTGGTAAATCAAACTTTGACAGAGAATTATATAATCTGCAGACTTAAAAGCACTGAATATTTTCATCAGCAATGATGTCATATGTTTGAAATGATATCAGGAAAATGACGTAAATTTGAAATTTCCATGATTCCTACAGGAAAAGGTAAATTTTATGTCGATATTTTGAGAAATAGTCACCGAGCACAGGTCTGCTCAAGCTCAATATTTTGATATAATGTGTAGAATGATAACATCGAAATAAATTAATTTTGTTCTTGAGCAGGCCTGCGCTCTGTAAATTTTATAGCTAAAATCGTTTAAATTTTATCCATTTTCTCCTCTATCTGAAAAATAATACAAAATCCGACTAGTTTGTGAAGTCATAAAAAACAAAAAATGACAATAACTTCTTTGAAACTATAATATGTTTTGTTAATTTATATTTCTCATACAATTTATACAATTCAGCTCATTTCAAGATATTTTCAAAATATGACTTTTGTGGGGGCAAAAATATGCAATATACTGCATATACATAGTTCTTTTCATTGATTTAATTTACAGCACGTACATTTTGTTTTGGAAAACATAGAGCACAAGCTTGCCTATCTACCTAATCTACTATCTATACTAAATATATACACTATATATAAAATGTATATATTTTATACACTTAAGTATCAAATGCAGTTTATGTGTAAAAATCTCAGATAGGCAAGCTTGTGCTCTGTGTTTTCCGAAGAGAAAAGTATCTCAAATATGATAAAATTCCACCAAAAATGAGGAAATTTGGGAAAAAATGTCCTACTTCTGCTTCCTACAGTAGCCTCCATTTATGCTTTGAATCCAAATTAGTGCTGGTTTTAGATCAAGCATCATTTTAAGTTTTTAACCACAAACTATTGAAATTTTACCAGTGTTCTGATTTTTACATAAAATCTAGCCATTACCCTACCTTGTCCTTTGTCTTTTAATTCTTACTTTAAATGTTCTTCAACTAGCTACAGTGCGAATGGCATTCCATTTAAACTTAAAAACACAAGCCTGGCCTGAATGCCGTATAAGTAAAAAATTTAGCGAGACGCAAATTTAGCAATTTGTCCTTAAAAACTGGTAATTTATTTTTAGCGAGATGTTATTTAAGCGATTTTAAAATGCACATTAATAAAAAAACTTTTACAAATAAAATGCAATTAATTTTTTGTGATATATTCAATGTTAGCGATCTCAACACCCTCATTAATAATGCCAAAATTAAATCCTTGCTAAAAATTCTACTGATATGTTAATGCAAAATCACCATATTTCAGATAAATGTAATATACCGTAAAGCATGTGCCTAGGTTTACAGTGGTTTTCCTGGGGTGAAAATTTACAATGTTACACTGAACTACATGCAAATTATTGATAATTGTTATGAGTTTTAGTTACTTGTTATTGAAATGAGTATTAAAGCATGTGTCTAATGTGCTTTGTTGTATTTTGCAAAAACCTGGAGGAGGTACACCTGATGGACAAATTATGGAAGCAGCAGCAGTATATACCCAACAGGACTAGGTGGAAACTAATATCTGATGATGTTGACCTTCCCAACAAGATCATATCACAGGAGATAAGTGACACTGATCTGGTACATGTACAGTGTATATGCCATAAACATGATTCAAGATCATCTTATTAGCTGTGTCAAATTATGAAATAGCAGACAAAATTTTAAGCTGTGCTTATTTTTATCTCTACTAGTCAGAGACAATGATCTAAGACAGATGCACCAAGGAGAACCTGATGGAATCATGCAACTGGTCAATGCAAAGCAAATGGATGCTGATCTTCCAAGATTTGGAAACAGGAGATGTATGCAACAGGACATGGTGGACATGGTGGAAACAGCAGGTGGACCCAATAGGACATGGTGGATACAACTGGAGGACAATGCCTGATGGATGTTGATTTTTCCTCCAAGACATATACCACAGTGAATAAATGACACTGATGAGGTATGTGACATAATTACTTCCAAGTTCATCTTATATATATATTAGGGATGTCAAATCGGTCAATTTTTGATACTCGGTTACTCGGACGTTTTTCCGATCGAGTACCCGGGTACTCGGTAAAAGTGTAAATAAATATGAACAAGTTAATTGATAACTGTAAAAAAAAATTGTAAACTCTTGTAGAAATAAAACCGATGGGAGGTTACCTGCAAATGCGTTGTAACAATTATATACCATTTTGTAACTTTTGAAATTTAAATCTATCATTTTTTAAAGTTCAATTTATTTATCAGATAAATACGAGAAATAAAATCAGAAATGGTTCACTGTGTTTTTGTTTAAAAAATAATCTGTTCCGTTATTGTAATGTAACTCTTTGGTGCGTTTGATGTCCAAGTGATAAGTTGTCTGAGCTATATGTACGGTATAAACTTGATCAAGTTATCCTATAACAGATCGGATTTATACGATCTTCGTACACTTTTTGATCCTAGATTTCATAGAATTACGATACGGTATGTAGTTTAGAGCAATGATGGACATAAGATTTTTAAAGCATTTGCATTAATTGGCATGTAATCAAATGCATCCAAATCAACAATCGCACGTGCAATATCGTCTGTCTCTTTCCCGAGAATTTACGGCTTCTTGGAGAATTGACAAAATTATTTAATTTGTTTAAATATAATGGACCTTAAACGATGTTCAATGAAAACAAATAATTAAAGCAAACTAAATATAATGGAAGACGACAGTCGAAGGTGAGAAAAGCCCGGGTAGGTACATCAGGTGTTTGGTCACGATAATTACTGTATAAACACTGCCACAGGCGATAACGGTCATTTAGAGGCATAGGAAACCCTAATTACTGTATGTACAAGTGCAATGAACATTTTACGTTTTAAAACCGATGTTTTAATGCATTAATAAATAAGCTTAGAAATATTTAAAAATATACATCCGAGTAACCGAGTACCAATTTTAGTATTCGATACTCGGACGTTCGATCGAGTACCCGGTTAACCGGGTACTCGTTGACATCCCTAATATATATATATATATATATATATATATATATTAAACAGGGTCAAATTATACTTAGCAGGTGAAATTTTTAACCAGGTTAATTGCTAGAAGTCAGTCAGCTTTTATGCAACCAGATATGCCGACTCTTCACACCCAAATTAAATTTTTCAAATAAACTTAAAGCTGCCTTGACACAGATTTGAAGTTAATATTTTCTGTATAATATCACGACATATATTTTGCAATAGCATTTCACAATCAAAATATAATAAAAATCTAATTTCATCTAAAAGTTATTGAAGCTAAATTTTTGGATGCATGGTTTGATTGACACGTCCTTGCACTTTCACAAATTTTAATTTTAATACTTAGGAAAAGTGACAATCTTGTTGTGTATATACATGTACTTATATCAAAACTGGAGGTTGGGGCCAAAACCACTAAAGACCTATCTGCGGTATGTTGCATATAATATATGCTAGGTATAATTTGACCCTGTTTAATATATATATAAGATGAATTTGGAAGTAATTATGTCACATACCTCATCAGTGTCAAAATATCGACGAAAAATGTACATTTTTCTGTAAAATTCATAAAAAACTGAAATTTACGTCATGTTTGTGACGTCATTACGTACATATGACATCATTACTTATGAAAATATTCAGTGCTTCGAAAAGCATATACTCCCCTGTATTAAGAACTTAATTAATAAATATATTTCCATCAAAGTTTGATTTGGGGGGGGGGCAAATATTGGTTAATACAGCATAAAATTCTTTAGTGCAATCTTTAAAAATCTTCTTCATAATACTCCTGGACATCAAGCAGTCAAACTGTTGGCATGATTCAATCAGCATTGAGTCCTCTACCAAAATGGTGAAATTCATGGCCCCAGGGTCAGGGATTCTAGTACTAGGGTGAGGCTTAATAGACAATATAGTGAAATTCATCATTTCTTTGAAAATTTTCTTCTCTGCTCCTCAAGGTATAAAATAAACCAAAATATCGGTACATATATAGTTAATGTTAAATTAGACTGCGTCTTCCAAAATTATAATTTCATGGCCCCAGGGTCAGAGGTTCTGGTGTTAGGGCAGGACTCTATTGATTATACAATGAAAATGCATAAATTCTTTGAAAATCTTCTCTGCTCCAGGGTATTAAACTAACTTAAAGTATATAGTTATAATGAGCAAGAATGCCTCTTCCAAAATTGTGAATTTTATGGCCCCTGGGTCGGGGGTTCTGATGTTAGGGTGGGGCTCTATTGATTATTTAGAGAAAATACATTAATTCTTTGAAAATCTTCTTCTCTTCTCCTGGGTATTAAACTAACTAACTGCATAGTTATAATGAGTAAGAATGCCAGCTAGTCTTCTAAAAAAAATGCTTGTATTAGGGCAGTCTATAGATAGTTTTTAGACCCTACAAAATTTGTGAATTTTATGATAATTTTCCCTCTTTGTCCTACCAAATATAAGAGGGCGTAGTAGAAATATTTGGGGGGAAATCATTATGGAATAAACATTATGAAATAAAGGAGGCTCTAACAAATGTATAACTGTCAGAAAAACAATGCTTTCCAGGCCACAATAGCCAGTATAAAAAGTTAAAGTTGGTTGAATTATGAAGGAATATGAGCATGTTGACCCACAACATGGCCGCCGAAGAGAAATAACTCTTGTTAATTTGGGTCTATTGAAAACTATCTATTGATTATACACTGTAGTGAAAATGCATTCTTCTCTGTTCCTGGGTATTAGTATATTAATCAAATAAGGCTGCCTCTTCCATTGAGAGTCAGGGGTTCTCACTGGTGTTAGGGTGGGGCTCTTAATTGATGATATAGTGAAAATGCATAAATTCTTTACAAAAACTTCTCTGCTCATGGGCATTAAACCAATGAACTGTGTACACAGTTATGATGAGGAAGGATTCCTTTTCCAAATTTGTGAATTTCTTTGCCCCTGGGCAGGGGTTCTGGTGTTAGTGCAGGGCTCTAATGATTATATAGTGAAAATGCATGAATTCTTTGAAAATCTTTTCCTGGTATTATGCCAATGATCTAAGTACATTTTTTATAATGAAGAATGGTGCCTCTTTCAACATTTTGAATTTCATGGCCTGTGGTTTAAAACACAAACCAAATTCAATTGTTGGAAAGTTGTTAGATGATACCAAGGTGATCACCTATTAAGTCTGTGGGTCTCTTGTTCTGATTTGTTCTAGTGGATGCTAAAGGCATATAATGTTGCTTTTTTAAGTGTGAAGATTTGGAGACCATAGTAAGTCAAGGTACTAATGAGTTGATTTTATGTGGATTTGCTGGGTTGACATTTTCAAGGATTGGGACCCTTCAGGTATGGCAAAGTGATCATGATTTCTATTTTGTACTTTTCTTTATATTTTTTTTTTATCATATAATATTTAAATTTTATCAAAATCTGATACTCATTTCTTGCCTCATTTATTTACAGAAAATAATCGAATCAAGAAAGTTTTCAAAGTGCACATCCTTGAGATCATGCATAGAGAAGCAGCAGATAATGCAGATATATCCAGATCTTCAAAGCACTGATTAAAACACATTCAAGCTAGCAATGTTTTTTCTGTGTTTTTAAAATCAAAAATCATTTTGAAAATATTTTTGTAAAGGGTGTCTGAATTATGAAAGGGTATGTTGACGCCTGTTCGTACAAGTGGGTTCTTTACGGGTACTCCGCCTTCCTCCCACACTGACCCCCTGCTTTTCTCTTTGTTTTCTTCATTAGCTATATTTATCCATTAGCTATATTTATCCAAAATGTTGAGATGAACTAGTTGACGGCTAGTTTTAAGTAAGCTTTGGATACCCTGGGGCATTACTGGTTGGAACTCCAGGGAGGAAAAGCTGAAAGGGACTAGTTGGAGGCTGGCCTTTGTCTTTAATAATCTTTATTTTTGTATTATAACCAATGAGATAATACGTAGTTATTGGAATTGTTTAGATAAAGTTGTGTTGGTACAGGATTCTTTTCCAAGTGTAACTTTGAGCTCTTTAATAACCAAACTTGCATGGATTATACATCTAAGGGTGCATTCTAACAGGCTGGCTTTGGATGCTGAATCTGACCTACATTTTCTTGATTAGGGAAAAGGATAGTTTTTTTATACAGATTTCATTTCCAAGTAACTATGAGCCCTATGTTGAGCAAACTTGCATGGATGATACATCTTAGGATGCACACTAATGGACTTGCTTCAGATGCTGAATTCGACATACATTTTCCAGAAAATGGACCTGGTAAAAGTTATGGGTGCAGGTCTATTGCCAAGAAACTATAAGGCTTATATAAACCAAACTTGCACAAATGATGCATAAAGGGATGAAAACTCTCAAATTTGCTTCAGATGCTGGATTTTAATCACATTTTCGTGATGAAGAACTAGTTTGAAGTTTTTATATAAGTCTATTCCAAAATATCAGACCAAAATTGCATAAATTTTGCATTTTTGGATGTACACTTTTTGTTGGTTAATTGTGTGACTTTGTCTTACTTAAAGACAACGTTCGTTGAGGTCAGCTCTGTAATCTCTGATTACCTATGTTTGTTGCTCTCTTCAAATGAATTAATGTCGTAGATGTAGGAACATTACATCAATGTTTATGGTGGGTCTGGGGGGACCTAAAAGGGGGGGATTTGGGACATTTCTAGCCTGTGTTTCCCCCATCTGTCAAATAAGACAGAGGGCAGGTCTTGTTTAGTGGGGAAAGTATTACCCCTTATGTAATGTATGGTTGGGGTTCTACAAGTTTAATTAATAATGGTGCACCCTTCACCTCTTTTAAAGGAGGGAAGGTTCACAGTGTGGAATACTCAGTGTCAGTGAGTACTATCGAACCAGGGAGCAACCTTTTGAAAACAGGGTAAACAGATATGTCCCAGGGTACAGGTCATTCCCGTCCACATGTTGTCAACACAGGGCCGCCATCATTCCCATTATGTATCTTTGTGTCTAGGTATTTCTGCCGTAACCCCAGAACTCCTATAAAATTTGGAGACAATATGGTCATTTATCTCCAATATCCATAGACTTTTCAGTGATTGTTGTGTACGAATTGTTGTGATAATAATAATGGGTGTAATACTAGTATTGCCGAGTTGAATAAATGTGAAATGAAATTGTGAGTCTTATTATACATTCCTTGAGGCTTAGGAATAATGGAAAAGCTAATCAACAGTATGAATTATAGTTAAATATAGTAGTTGCTGTATGGTTCTATGCAGAGTTAGCAAGCAACCCAAATACTAAGAAAGTTGGCAATGGTTACGTTAACATCCAGACTGTTCAAGGTTTTCCAATGGGACCTGCACTCGGTAATTATGGCATTTGAGCAGTAACGTAACTTTTTCATGCAACGCCTACTGTGATAAGAGACCTCAGTTTAAATGGTCTCATCCAAGGTACCGGTCTTCACGTCCCAGTGAAATTCCAAACTAGAATATTAAGATCAACTCCTAACTCAAAGACTTTAAAGCAAAACCTATAACTCTTCCGCAAACTTAATCCTACTGATACATGCATTAATTGAATTATTACTCTTTTCTTTCTAATTGATTCTCACATCAATTCAATTGAAAATAGTAATAATTGATGCTTGTTTTTTAATCATATTTCTTTGCTATAAATTCTATTATTTCTTAAATAGGAAGTGGAAATCAAAATCTGTATCATTTACTGTAAACGTATTACATTTAGCGGTGTATTCTATTTAACAATTTTGGCGGTAAACGGAGTCGGCTAATTCAAGTACATCGCTAAAATCTTGTATATTAACTTTCATAACTAGCAAATTCAGACAACGCTAAATCAAATCTACTCTTAACTTGTTGAAAATTGAATTTCCGCCAAATATCGAACACGCCAAATGTCATACAATTACAATATGATTTTAAAATGACAACCGGGATTCAGTTTCAATGCTAACAATTATTAATCGTATCTTCAGGAGATTAAATCACCCTATCCAGTATCTTCCTTTTTTATCCATGAACTGATAGACGAAAATGAGCTTATCCCTTGATCGTTCAAGGAAACTTGATGATGAAACCAGTGATTAACAATATTCAAGAATTACTGTGATATATTTATTTACAAAGGTAATAAATTTCCTCTTACAGTGAACAGTATAACTGAAATTTCTTACAGCATTCAAGAATTACTGTGATATATTTATTTACAAAGGTAATAAATTTCCTCTTACAGTGAATTTCTTGCATTAAAAAAACAGTATAACTGAAGACAAAAGTATTAAGTACAACAAAAAAACTAGTTGTTCCCATTTGATGTATTTATTTTACTCATCAAATTCTTACTTGTTTTTACAATTTTTACAATAAAATTTATTTAAAGCCTAACAATTCACAAGTTTATCAAAATTTAAATTAAGTGGGAACAGGTTTTTTAAAAATTCCATATTCATCACCATCTTTTCCAAGGGCATTTATATAACTGACTGTTCAATGAGAAAAAAATTCAACACAAGTTCTTTACATGGAGTTAACGTGTACATCAATAGCTACAATAGGAATCACACCTAATCCAGTTCTTTCGAATTCTAAAGACCCTCTTTTGCATCATTTAAGTAAGTCGCACCTACATGTGTACAATAGGAATTTAAAATAACATGCACAACATTATGGTATTGGTTAAAACACGTGTATCAAACAGTAGATCTGATAAAATCATAACATATTATGACATAACCTCACATCTAAAAAATATCCCAAATGAAATAAATTTCACCTTCTGTACATTGAAATTGCTTGCATTTCTATGGACTTTAAAGTAATCCTGTCCTTTGAATCCTTCTTGCATGGTTTTGCACCCCTAACCAATCCCATGACGAAATTAGTATGTTCAACAGTTGATTGAGTTTACTGGTTCACAAGGGGGGTCAAGATGATCACAACACACTGTTAGTAGCTTGTGATGTGTTCAGATGAAATGGACATGGTCCTTCAGTCCACTGGAAGAACAAAAAATGTATCATAATTTATAAAATGATGAAACAAAAAATCAAAACAACTCCCACCCCCCAAAAAGTGAAAAGCATATTTTGGAAACATCATAGGTATATTTTATAAAAATAAAGTTGAAACTGATGCAACTTTAATAAATACATATATAAGGCTTAAATTTGATTGGCATTTTATTTTTTTTTAATTCAAGGGAAACGAATACATTTGTAAGTTGAACATTACATGTTTGCTAACAATGCTTATTTAAAACTGTGAGAATTTAAAACAATTATCAATCTTGTATGCCATAAATCCATTTTTGTCCCCCGCTAACTTTTGATTGAAAAGAGATAGGGCTTTCATATTTGACAAGTGCATTTCCTGTGACAAGATATTTCCAAGCATGCTATAATTTCTGACCCCTTGACCTTTACGATTGACCTCATTTTCTAAAAAATCAATTTTGGGGATAACTCCTGAATGACATATGAAAGGGCGTTCATATCTGACACAATATTCCTTAAAAAATGACATCTTACCCACAGAGACACCGAAAGTGGGGAACCACAATTCTCTGAATTTGCTTGTTACATTTATATTCCATCTGCACCTATACATTGAGTGTCTGGACACTTACATGTATGAGTCCGTGTTCTGGAAGTTGGGAGGACTGTAAAAGATCTTTCAGCAAGGACTGAGTAAAAGTATTATGCATTCTGTATCCCTCTTGTTCATTAGCAGTGTCCCCACAAAGTCTGTACAAATCTGAAATACAGAATCAAAGAGTAACAAACACTTAGTACCTGGTACATCAATAAACAAGATGTGTTTGTGAAACACTATGCGCCTGGTGGCAGCAAAGTTTGAAAAAGCTATTTTTAGCATATACAGGTCACAGTCAAGGTCACAAGGTCATTGATCTTCATGTCATTTGAAAGAGCTTTATTAGTAAAATATGCATACTAAATATGAGATCTCTATCTCTCATACATGTAGTTCAAAAGTTATGGTGAAGGTTGGAAAAAGCTATTTTTAGCATATAGGTCAGTCAAGGTCATTGACCTTGGTGTCATCTGAAAGAGCTTAATTAGTGGAGTATGCATACTAAATATGAAGTCTCTATCTCTCAGGATTTAAAAGTTATGGCAAAGGGTTATAGTTTACATACAAACAGACAGACAGACAAGCGCCCCCGATCTATGGATCCCAGCGTATAAAAATAGAAAGTGCAATAAACTTTCTAGACGCAATTTTGTAAAGAAAGGAGATAGCAGCATATGTAGCTAAATGTAATACTGGATTGTGGAGTAAAATTGCTAAATGTCTACAAAAGTCTATGAAAAGATCGTAGCTCTACTTGGAGAACAGAAAGCAAGTATAAATCATTAATTTCCTCTGCAGCTGCTTGCAATACCTTTGAGAAGTGAAGAGGCCCACAGTTGGACATGGACATCAGAAATTTTCCCCGCTAACTGCATTGCAGGAGTGACCATATTTAATGCCTCCTGAAATATCAAATATATGTACATAAGCTTTTTTATATGTCACATACATGTATGACTACATCCCTTATTTTAAAGGAGAACTTTTAAAATATCATAAAATGACTCTGATGTAGGAGTCAAAACATGAATACAATTGAAAACAAAAAGTAATTCTATTTTGCAGTTTGATGCTTAAGCAAATCATTCAAGTCTTTTAAGAAATTTACACAGAGCTTTGTTAAACAAAATCAATAGTAATCTCTTTTTCCAAAAAATATTGAACTCACAGCATTGTTTCCAAGGGATAAGAAGATGTGCCCGAGAAGAACTAAGGAACATGAGGTCAGGCGATTCAGATCTTCAGAGTTTGCCATCTTCAGAGTTTCTCTAAGGTATCTCCTGAAGAAACATAGGGTAGTGTGTTAGAAAATTTAAAATACATACATTCTGAATTCTCCAAAACGCATGGCTATATGCACCATCATTTCAAGTTTGGTCAGAAACGACATATAGCTGCTAGGAACTGAATCACTCTTCTTACTTTACCTCATCAACTCATTCAGTAAACAGAAAATTTTAAAACTTTCCCTTACATCACTTACACAATGCACTCCTAGATGCAAAATTCACAGTCTAAATAAAACACACAGTAATTTGGGAAGAAGTCTGATTCAAAGAATTAATTTTGGTCACTCAAGAAACTACATGTCAGATGCAGCATTTGAAACACAACTATTTGATATCATCCTTCAACACTTCATCAGAGCAAGTTTGACCAAGGCAGGGAATATATGACTTTCAGTGACCTGTTCCAAAAATCTAAATCCTAGCCATTCCTCCCGAGTGTGGCAGATGTAACAGCCAAAGATAGACTAGTACCATTAGTTAAATTCACAGAGGTATCATCAATGCAAGTTTGATCCAGTTAAGGCTTTTACAGTAAATACAGATAGAGACTTTTACGTAAAGTAGCTGAATCTGATTTGTCAAGAAACATTTATCAAAATCACTGTTAACCTCTGAAGGATGAAACCATGCCCTCCAGGGGACAGAATGTAGCAACAGGAACATTGCTTGAAGAATGGAGACTAGTGATATTTTTCCAAAAATATTGACTGCACAGAATTTGCACAAAGTTCACTATAATATTTGTATAGAAAATTCAGTAATATCATAAATATTGTAATGCAGTTGAAGGTAACATGGAATCTTTTCTCCCTTATATAACCAGTGAATCCAAGCACAGCTGAATGTTTTATAAAAATAATAGTAAACTCTGTGTGCATGTATTCTGTTAAGTAAATGTTTTATTTTGAATACATGGAACTTTGACAACCAGAGAACAGATTAAAATTCATTACTATAGATTCCTAAATATACATGTGGAAATAATTATCTTGTAATTTTGCGAGACGCACCAATCTCGATATAAAAATACTTGCTTTTATTTTTATGGTTGTGAAATCTATGTAAAAGCTCTTAATCAAACGTCCGTTCGCGGATTATTCTTCTCTTCAAGTCGACGGGCCCATTCACGTTAAAAAGTACTCACGAAAAATAAGGAATCTACCGTATTTTGAGAGCTTAACAGTAAGGTAAGCATATAAATATCGAAATACTGGAAAATTACTTACTTGGCTTCATTGTAGCGTGCCTGGAAAAATGTCTGCAAGCCTCGGACATAGAATGCAGATGCTTGTAAACTCTGAGGACTACAATTAAACACTTCACTTGTAACGATCCAAACAAAATATAGTATTTCAACCATATTATTTTGATAATATCACTTGGAACATTTAGTATGCTTGCATAAACAACAAAACTTAACTCTTGATACATATCTTTGACTCATAAAATTATTATACGAATGTTCAAAGCTTATTTAGTTCTTTATCCAATCTAGTGAATCAACTGAATTGACTCCAGGTTTGTATTTCTTTTTACCATGATTGGCATTTCTCTGGATCCACTTTTTCCATTATTGACATAAATTCTGGCAAGCGATTAGTCCTCAGATAGACAATAGCCAAATTTAAATTCACAAACATGGCCAGTTCTGTCCCCTGTGAAAGCTAAACAAAGTACAAAATTTAATTTTCCAATTAATCAAATGCAGTTATCTTGGATTTTTATGTATTCTTTTTACCAATGACAGGCAACTCTCAACCTTTTTTGTTTTATAAATTTCCTCATTAATATCAGAAACAAGAAATCCATTTACTCACATTATCTTGAACATCAATATAATAAAACAAGAGGCCCATGGGCCTTATAGGTCACCTGAGTATCATGCAACAACTTTAATTTGGTTCATGTTTTAAGCTAAAAGCTTTGAAATTCACAAATTTTGAAAAAGGCACCTTGCTTATCAAAGGGCAGATTTCAAAGCATTAATTTATTTTTACTGAATACCCGTACCCCTGACCCAGCGGCTTTGAAATTATCTATTTTAAAGAGGCCCCTTTTTCATTATAAGGCCAGCATTTTTTTTATGTTTAGGTTTAGTTATGAACATGAGAATAAAAAAGTCCCAAAGGAGAAGGAAATAAAATTTTTTTTTTTTGATAAAGTTCTAAAATTTACTTGATGCCTAAAATTATAATTCCTATCATCAAACAGACAGGGAGTATTGGGGAGTAGGGTGAACATTTTTTAATTAAGTGTAAAATAATTTTTCTGGCTGATACAAATGATACTTCATGCCTGTATATATTTGTATATTCTAGCCTTTCAATAGTTGAATTTTTTTTTATTTCTTCAGGTTTTTGTTTATTTCTTCCTCAAATGGACTTAACTTCTCCCATAGTTTTATTCATTACATCTGATGCATAAGCAACCCTTTTCTGAAGAATGATGCTTAGACTGCATTTTCAGAGACCTAAACAATGTCGCTGGCAATATGCAATAGCTACCACGGGCAGTTTAAAACCTGGGGGAGGATAATAATTTACAGACAGTTATTTTTGAAACGAATACATAATTATCTCACCAGCATGTCATTGTGCAACAAAGTCGTCAGCATTTTATTTGTCCTTTGAACGGGTGAAACGTTTTGAATGGCAATCTTATCGATGAATTTTACACTAAACCAAGCTATCTTCTCAGATCTAGCTTTTATACCCGCCATTTCATCGTAAAACCGGAAGTGCCGTAAATTTGAAATCTGGGCCCACAAATTTGACATCGGAAAGAAAAAAATTGTTTTTTTTTTTTTTTGAAAATTCAAAACCTTGAGAGGAGGGTATGTAAAACTGAAAATAAAATAAACCCTGGCCTTAAATATGTAATTAGATCATTAGCATATTAACCAGGAGCAAAGGATAAGATGTTCAAAGAAATCATGCATTTCACTATATAATCATGAGAGCCCCACCCTAAAACAAGAACCCCTGACCCTGGGGCCATAAAATTCATAATTTTGGTAGAGGCACTATTGCTCATCATAACTATGTACTTAGTTAGTTTATTTAATACCCAGGAGCAGAGAAGAAGATTTTCAAAGAATTCATGTATTTTCACTATATAATCATTAGAGCCCCATCCTAACACCAGAACCCCTGACCCTGGGGCCATAAAATTCACAATTTTGGTAGAGGCACTCTTGCTCATTATAACTATGTACTTAGTTGGTTTATTTAATACCCAGGAGCAGAGAAGAAGATTTTCAAAGAAATAATGCATTTTCACTATATACTTATTTAGCCCCGCCCTAGCACTAGAACCCCTGACCCCAGGGCCATGAATTTCACAATTTTGGTAGAGGACTCATTGCTGATTACAATCATGCAAACAGTTTGACTGCTTCATGTCCAGGAGTAAAGAAGAAGATTTTTAAAGGTTGCATTAATTTTAGTGGTTTTGGCCCCATCCCTAAAGCCCCAGGAGGGCAGGGATCATGAAAGTCACAATTTGTGTTTCCCTTTACCCATAGATGCTTTGTGCCAAATTTGGATGAAATTGGTTCAGTGGTTGCAGAGAAAAAGCGGAAAATGTTCAAATGTTAACGCACAACGCACGACTACGGACGAAAACGGATAGCAATAGGTCACCTGAATTTCCAGGTGACCTAAAAACATTACAAATACGGACACTTTTAGAAATTGCTTTCGTAGACATTAAGAAAGTGTACAATTAACAGTATAATGTCAACACTACCTTTATAGCTGTTAGGAACTGCAACTCTGCTGCATCCATACAATTCATTGACATTGCATAAAGACCCTGTCATGGAAATAATTACAAACTTTTTCAGAAAATAAATTCAACAAAAATTATACAAATAGAAATAATACATGTATTATAAAACTGTAATTTATAAGGTGACAAACTAAACACTGTATGTTTTTTTTCTTATGTTTTTCATCCATTTAAGAATTACTTTTTTTGGGGGGGGGGGGGGGGGTGTCTTTTGATGATTGACATGTATATTTGCTTTAACAACATGTGTGAACAGTATCAGAACCATGCGCGGATACTAATAGTGTATGAATTTGTGACCCCCCCAGGAATTTGGAAGGTTATTAAATTCATATACAAAAGTAAGAAACAAGATACCAGACCCCCCCCCCCCTCATCAACTTGAATTTGTACTAAATTTGTATGAAAAAAGTCAAAGGCTAATCTCTATCCCCCCCCCCCCCCACACACACACACAAAATACGATTTTGAAGTTTGGGACTGGGGTGGACCCCCCCGGAAAAATTTCAGATCCGCGCCTGAGAACACTTACTAAAAGTGTATGGATTTGAGCGCCATGAGTTGTAAAAAGCCGAGGCTGCTGTTGGCACACAGAACAGGCCTGGAAAATCTAAATCAAAAAAGACATTTAATTAATCTTTGTTATTATATATAAAAATGGTGCTAATTTGCTTTGAGATATTTATGTACATGTATATGTATGAAAATGAAGCGTCAATAATCATATATTAGTATAATGGTGTTAAACGTATACTTTGTTATCATATATAAAAATGGTGCTAATTTGCTTTGAGATATTTATGAATATGTATGAAAATGAAGCGTCAATAATTATATATTAGCATAATGTGAAAAAAATTCTGTTCAAATTTTGGAGATATATAATACTATATCGACAGTTTAGCTCCTGTGCACCCCTTAGGTATTAACAGAGGGCTTCTGCGGAAGTTTTACCTCACTGTTATATTGTATGTTATTGAATAAATGATTGAAGAAAAAAAAAATTTAGCTTGTTATTTATGCAACGAAAAATTTTGTATCAAAAGGTCACTTTGAAAAATTGAAAACTACAAATTCCAGCCAGCAAAATTCATGTGTGTTTAATTTTGTTGTCTTAAAATATCAGTTGTTTATACAAGGTTTACACAGTTTACATGCTTAGGATGAACAAACTGGTTTCATCTAGTCAAAAAAATCATACCAGTCATTCAAAACCTCTATATTTTGTTTTGGATTTTAAAAGCCAATACTTACCTCCTGAATAGCCAGTGTTTTGTTACCCATGATCAGGCGACACATGATGATGTGTTCCAGCAGCATTAACTGGAAGGCAGACAGGAGAGGGTGGGAGTCCAACACTGAAAACCAAAGTGATAATTACAACATCTATACTGCAGAAAATATTATACTAATTTCTCACTTTTTGGCACATTAGAATCATTTATAAAGAATCTGGGCCAGAATTTTCACTTAATTATTTAATGTATCACCTATGATTTTATATTTTCCTGTGTTATTTTCACTCACTTTTTAACTTTTCTATCTGCATCAGAGCCTTGTCTGTATACTTCTGAGCTTTGTCCATATGTCCAGCTTGCATTGAATGCATTACTGTCACCTACAAAACCAGAAGTCTCTGTCGAGACTGAAGCTCTACCGGTTTGAACTTATAGCAAAGGAAGAGAAAAGTACTTAAGCAGCTGGGACATATATTTCCAACACATAGAATAATGATCAAAATAAAGTCTCATGGTTTTCTTCTTTCTTTGTAAAAAAAAGTTATATTGAAATCAGACCAAAACTGTTATGTAGCATTTTGAAACAATTTTACAGATATTTCAATTTTTAGTAACCACGGCAACACCGTTCATCAAAATTAAAATTCGATACACAAAATCATGTATCTTAGTGTATTCTACTTGTGTGCCAAGTTATACTGAAATCAGACCAAAACTGTAGGAGGAGTAGCATTTTGAAACAATTTTACAGAATGATATTTCTAGTTTTAGTAATTGAAGTGAAACACATTTTTTAATCAACTAGTCATGTTTTCAAAGTGCATATTCAATTTTCCACACAAGGCAATTTGTTAGAAATACATGTAGTACTACGTTATGCATACAATTTGCCTAAACTGTAGGAGGAGTAGCATTTTAAAGAATTTACAGAAATTTCTGTTTTTCACATAAAGCCACGGCAACACTGTTAGATTTATAATAATCAAAATTCGATACACAGAATTATGTATCTTAGTGTAGTCTACTTGTGTGCCAAGTGTATATTGATGCAATCAGACCCAAAACTGTAGAAGGAGTAGCATTTTGAAAGAAGTTTTTACAAAAATATATTGTTATTAAAAATGGCAACATTGTTTGTAATTAATGACATATATCAAAAACCGATACACAGAATACATGTATATAGGTGACCTACTGTGAAATCACTAATTTTTGTGGTGGTTTACTGGTATTTTTCAAAGAATTTCACAAAAATTTCTATTTTTATAACCACGGCAACACCGTTCATATCATTAATCTAAACATTTTAGCCACAAATTTAAATCTACAGAACCAACATTGTGTGCCAAGTCATACTGAAATTAGACTAAAAAAATATTAGCATTTGAAAAATTTTTTAATAAAGTGCCGCGCCACAGCATGATACGCCCGTCAAAAAATTACAATTTTCTTGAACAGTTTAGGTGCAAGAAAATCACAAAAATCACTATTAGACAATTTGTTAGCTACACTCCAAATCTTGTTCTATAAAGAATAAATACATCTGAAATATCGTCACATATATTTCCCACAAAGCTCAAAAATTAATACTGCATAGTTTTTTTCCTTATTAAAAAAAAAATAGAAATAATTGACCAATCCAAATAAACTGTTATATTTCTTACCAAATACACTACTATGCACATATGTTCCATTGGCAGCCACTGAAACAGATCCAGCTCATTAGCAGGGACTGGTTCTGAAAAAGATAAATCTCTGCAGTGACACTTGTTCACTTGGAGAAGGCCTCATTAGCACAAAGTTTTACTTGGACAGATAACTACTTAATTATGAATTATGTTGATTGGGAGAGCCTAATGCTATGTGCGATAGTCACACTGAAGTGAAATATGGCCTGTTTAATCAACCAGTCATGTTGCCAAAGTGCACATTCAATTTTCCACAGTAGGCAAGTCATGCAAACTTGGTAGAAATATGTTATGTATACCACTTGCCTAACCGTCTTATATGGTAAAAATCCTCAATTTTAAGTAGACTACTAAAATCCTGTTTCTTGTCACATAAAACACTCAGGACAATGAAGATACTAATTACTATAGCTCACTGATTTGTTATACTCAAAATTTGACCTAATTTTCCCAAAAATACGGGTCTACTGCATTGCAGACATCAAGAATAAGATATAGTACAGTAAATAAAGTTTAAAAAGTCCTATTTGTTTGTCATTTAATGGCATAAATGTATTTCTAAAAATGGCACTTCAGAATACATGAATATAGTCGACCTCCTGTGAAATCACTAATTTTCGGGCCTGGGGGTTTGATTTTCATTACTTTTTTAGGTATGGAGATACCAACAAATTTATGACCACCACAAAATTTTAAACTTTCATATGCATGAGTGCTAAACATTTTCCAACCACGAAATTAAATCCAACAAACCAATATTTTTCCTCAAACCTAGAAAATTTGACCCTATAAAAATATTTGATTTTACACTATTTCTTTTTTAAAAAGAAGTTCTTATTGTTCTTCATTGCCTTACCAATCATTTGTTTTATACAAACTGTAAAAATTGCTTGCAATAATCTACCCAGGAACTGCTGTGTTTTCCCTAAGAATCTGCAACCGGCCAAATTGACCGCTTTAATTGACAAAAATGCTGTTTTTGAAATCAAAATTTGTTGTAAGGTCAACAGAGATTTTGTTCATAAACCTCAAACCCTAACCTGCTACAACTGATCTCTAACCTTTTACTTTGAAATAAAGGGAAAACACTGGGACTGATGACTCATTGACTATAAGACAAACCTTCATCTGTATGGAGCTGAGTGATGGTCTGAATGATTTGCTGAAGGTTCTTCAAAACTGGTTTAACTGTTTTAACCTTAATTTCAAAAAATACATAAATTAATATTTAATGCATGTAATAAGAATTAAAAATAAATAAAGTGACCATCAGAAAGTGACCCTGCTGAATGCAGGAGAATAAAATCAATTGGGTTCTTGGTATTAAAATATATGGAAATCTTTAAAGTTTAATTAAAAAAAAACCATCTTAATACCTTACACATGTACAATTAATAAAACCAACCTGTCCAGCCATGAGATAATGGCAGACTTGTAGCACAAAGAAGAAGACTTTGAGCGATTCCTTCTGTAGGGGAGTTCCATTGTAGGCCTCGATAAACTGACCAGCAGCGCTGAGTGTGTCATGGACTTCTGTGGTTTTCTTGGCAATCAGCAGCAACTTAAAAAAAAAAAAACAAGTAGATTGTACTGAAAACAAACTTTTATTTATATGGAAAAAATTGCCACAAGCCTTACAGTATTCTAATTCTTGTGTATATCTACTGGCACAATATACCTGTATACATCATATACTGTAAATTACTTTAATTTGATAGAACTTTATTTTCATGTAATTTATGCGAGATGGTGTGCTCATAAAAATTTCATTCTCTAGTAATGTTGTATGTAAGTATTTCTTAAGATTATATAAAGCAATACTGGGTAACCACAAATCAGGAAAATTTGGTTTCTCTGATAAAAATTAGATTATTATCTCACGAAAATAAGGTGTTGTGAAAATTTCATTCTCTTGTAATGTTATATTTCATTATGCTTTCATTAAATACATATATCTTCTCAGTGCAAAAATTCTAGGGGCTGGGACTCAGATTTAAGGCTCATATTGTCTTAAATTTTCTTACCACGGTAATAATATCATAGGTTATTAGAGCATCAAAACATATTAAAAAAAACATGTTTAGAAACTTCTTTTACCTAGAAACTAAGTAATTGCAAATTATTTACTATTGTTACTAACCATTCCCTTGCTTAAAATGAAGAGAAGTCTTGTGTATTCTGATCGGGCGGATCCCGCAAAGTCTGCCCCCATCTGAAGGTAGTGACAGGCGGAGACATAATCTCTCTGAATTGCATAGATTTGCTGTACAACAATAAAAATTAATCATAAATATTGATACATGTGTATTGTCAAATCTTTGTACAAGAAAAGTGTAGATAAACAATCAAACCATACAGAAAAAATTCTTTACCATTCAATAAAAATGACAGTGTGACATTAAAGATAATCATTAATAAAAACCAACAGAACAATTGACTCAAATACATAATTCTAACTTTATAGAAATCTTTTCTTGCTACTTACAGCCAGCTGGAAGATAAGGCGGCAGTGCCAGTACGCAGACTGCTGGGACACCTCAACTGCTTTCTGTAGCACTGGCTTAGCATCTTCATAGCGATACTTGAAAATAAAAACAATACTACTTATAACCACAATTACATCTCACAAATCTATATAATTTTTAATCACATTAAAACCAATCTACGGTAATATAAAGAAACTGATAGTTTTTATAAAATTTATAGTTGTGCATTTTTATCAAATGTACAATTTCTTGTACATGTATAAGGGTATTCAACAACAATCATGAAAAGAATATCATATCTTGTTAATGTTTAAAAACTTACATCTTTTTCATACAATGTTGCTAATTCACTGGCTGATTCAAACCTCACCAAGTCAGCTTCTTCTGAGGGAGGTAACTTAAAACCATTAAGGAAAAAAAAACTTGGCATGTACATCTATGAACAATTATCTTAAGTTGTCTCATCACATTCAGAGAGTCTTCTACAATTATCATTAACAAATGGGGATGGAATCTTGCAAGAAATTTCTTTAAATAAAATTTTGTCAGACAAAAGGATACAGCAATTGATACAGTCCACTGAAATTAGAAAGAATAAAAAATGAGTTAGATTATACAAATGATAAGAAGAGTCCCATGTGCCTTGGTTGTCATCTTAACATTATGAAATTCTCAGACAATAACCAATTCAACCTGTAATAGGTAAGCTGAACTTATGTTTCTGAAAAATCCATGGTTTAGCTGGGATTCTAAGATCATGATCATAGAACCTTTACTCTATTAAAATTTTGTCCTACGAGACCAGACTTCCAGTTCCACATGAGGCTAAAGTGCTTATTGCCTGAGAAGCTCATGATACTTAGATGACTGTTAAGGTCCATATGCCTCTCATAGAGAAAATAAATCCTTATATTCACCTGGAATGTCACGTGCAGGTGAATATAATGTAGTATTTTTCTACATTGTTGGATCTCAGCCTATCAGAAAGATAGGAATTATTCAATCATTTCATAAATTGTTTTATTCAAATCTTGGCCTAGGGTTGTCCAATCAAACAAATTTTAGTAATTGGTTACTTGACTGTCATTTTCATTACTTCAGCATGAGATCAATACTTATTAAAAACTTTCAAATTCATGATAACAGTATTCTTTGTCATTTTTGTGCCAATGTGGTTGTGAATCTATATGCAATTTTTAAGTAATATTTCATTGTAAAGATTAAAAGGAAAAAAAAGAAAAGAAAATTGAAAAAATAGGGGGACAGAATTTAAATTTTAATGTTCACAGAATAAATGCATTGAAAATGAATTATTACTTATTTTCATCTCTGTTCAGATGTGTCAGGGAACCAGGTGTAATAAATCTAGTACATTAAAATTTCTTCAAAAAATAAATAAAATAGCAAGAAGAATGTAAATAAAAAATTAAAAAGTGACTAATATTATACAATACATCTTTTCTATTTATTAATAAGCATAGTAAGACAGCGCAAAACAAGCTCCATAGACAATGTGTCTGAACAGGGGAAATTCAGCTTGAAATCTGCACATTATTCTAAGAAATTTTTATCAGTCCATGTGAAAAAAATCCAAACTCCCAATTATTATTTTGTGATGGATGTACAAAGCCACAATTTACTTGAGAAAAAAAAATACACAGAATAATTTAATGCAGTTACAATGTAATAATTATCCACAAAACTATTATTTACATACTTAGAAAACATGACTTTGTATATGATGTCATTAAATGCCTTGAGTATTTCAAATTTTGTCAAAAAAGCCTAGAAGTTAAGAATCTAGATCCAGATGCATGGGGAGTCTGCAAGATTTATCTAAGTGTCATTTTTTGAATGATTTTTTGTATGAAATGCAGTAAAAACACATTATTAGTTAGCGTCGCTTTCTTCGCAACGCTCGTCACTGCGAGCTCTAATGACAATGCCTGGGCGAAGAGAAAATTTGGACTACTGCACATTCATTCCATAGAGTTTTTTTCTGCAGAAAGACCCACAAAGCATCGCTTCGTAAAGTTGCATTCTTGCAGGAATAAAAACAAAAGTTCATCAAATAATAAACTAACCTTGATTTAATAGATGTCTTACTGATAAATTAGTAAATAAAACGTTCTTCATTTAAAGTCAGCATTGTTCAAGTCTTGGTTTGGTAATGCAACTTGAACTACAATGTCATGTGATGTCAGAGTCTAGTTGCACCAAATGTTGCGTGCCGTTTGACGAGAAGGATCTAAATTAGAACTGAACAAGAATCTGCACTCGCCCTAACAGTCGCACCGTCAACATATTAGGAGTTTACTGAATTTGAGAAGGTGTGTGGAGTTGTAACAAGAATAGATATGGGTTACCCCATATCCAAAGATATTCGACTGTTAGATTTATTATGTTTAACAGTGTTTATAATGACGTTAATAAAAAAAACTGCACTGTCTAATTATGGAACTGTTGTAAATTTCGTGATTCCATAGCATTACGGTCACCCAGTCTCCTAACAAACAGTACACATAGGCCTACATGTACCTGTGTCCGCAAGACCAATTTTAGCCTTGGTCTACACACGTGCAATGGAGCTGTCACACGCATCCAGCGAGCTCGGAGAAACACGTTTTGTTTTGCCGAGAAGTTACGGTGTCAGACAAAATTTTTCTTTTCTTAATTAGATCATATAAATACGAATTCTGATTAATAAAAATTATACAATCCCTGTTGAACTATATATAGTTTGTTCTAACATTTTCATCTGCAACAACTTGTGTTTAAAATGGCCGGGTTGGGAAAATCAGGTCCGGGTCGGAAAATTCTAAACTGAAAACATGGAAAACCTTTTTGTTTTTGAAAATAACTGAAATATACTAATGTATTTGTCGCAGAAATTACTTACATTATTCAAGTTCTATATATAATGGTATATGCTGAACTTCAACACGAACCCGAATCTCCAACCCAGTTCTCGTTTTGCCACACATACCCTACAGTTTACAAAGTGTACACACGAGCAGGCCAGGGATTGAAAATTCCGTCATTTAATAATACACATACACAGAATGATTAATTTTTTCTTTAAGAACAAATTGTATGATAATTAACGGGCTATAAACATGTACTTAATACAATTGTTGATATAGTATTATCAATTCATCGGTGAAAAGATATGAATCGAAGAATGACCTAATTATTCTCTGTTATCAAACATGTAAAAAAAAAAAAAGGCTGAGGAGGGAGCGAGCGTAGGAATATTGATATTTTTTATTTGCATTTCAGGGGGAAAGTGACTTTCTAATGATATTTTGACGTTATTTTTGATTTCTTTAACGTATGACATACACAACTAAATACTCTTATCATGAACAATAATGTTGTATCTACTTATCATGATGGAATTATTTTGGTCGGACCAATATGTGTGAGCTGCCGCTGAATACAGTTATATATCTTGCAAAGATAGTATGCATTGATCGAATATATGAAAAAAAAAAAGAACTGGGCTTGGCCTAACAGTTTCGCTGTTGAACATATTAAAAATAGCAATTAACATATATTAAATCTAAAGTGTTTTAAATAACATATAAATAAATTGAAATGCAAGCTACATAAATTTTGCTGGACCTGTTAGGCTTTTACATTTAACAGAGCTGGGCCTTTTATGTACGGCTAAATGTCTTATGATATTCATTATTGTGGCGAGCTTGTGCAGATTGAAGAATCAAGATCAAATAAAATTCATATGAGTAAAAGATTTATCAAGGAGAAACTGTGCTCTCTCAAGCGGTCATACCGTAAAACATATTAAATATGTTCAAACTTTATCAGAGACTCACAGCTTGCTCCAAATGCCGAGTGGCTAACTCTTTGTTTTTCGTGTGCGCCAGTAGAATGTTTCCCAATTGCAGGTGCGTTCGAGATACAATAAGAGGAGGAGGGTTTATGTTGAATATAGATTGAAGACAATGAATACAAAGCCTTATGTTCGGTGGATTTGAGACTCTAAAGTGTTCTGCTAAGCCCAAGAGTGAAATATACAACGCATCATTTTTGCTTGACCCGCTTATGGCAGCCATCTTCCTCAGTCGCGATCTCGATCATCCTGACGCTTCTCTTCAACAGCTCTATCTTCGTGAGGTCGAAGCATTTTGAAGATTAAGAATTTAGTCTTTTTTTTTTCATATATTCGATCAATGCATACTATCTTTGCAAGATATATAACTGTATTCAGCGGCAGCTCACACATATTGGTCCGACCAAAATAATTCCATCATGATAAGTAGATACAACATTATTGTTCATGATAAGAGTATTTAGTTGTGTATGTCATACGTTAAAGAAATCAAAAATAACGTCAAAATATCATTAGAAAGTCACTTTTCCCCCGAAATGCAAATAAAAAATATCAATATTCCTACGCTCGCTCCCTCCTCAGCCTTTTTTTTTTTTACATGTTTGATAACAGAGAATAATTAGGTCATTCTTCGATTCATATCTTTTCACCGATGAATTGATAATACTATATCAACAATTGTTTTAAGTACATGTTTATAGCCCGTTAATTATCATACAATTTGTTCTTAAAGAAAAAATTAATCATTCTGTGTATGTGTATTATTAAATGACGGAATTTTCAATCCCTGGCCTGCTCGTGTGTACACTTTGTAAACTGTAGGGTATGTGTGGCAAAACGAGAACTGGGTTGGAGATTCGGGTTCGTGTTGAAGTTCAGCATATACCATTATATATAGAACTTGAATAATGTAAGTAATTTCTGCGACAAATACATTAGTATATTTCAGTTATTTTCAAAAACAAAAAGGTTTTCCATGTTTTCAGTTTAGAATTTTCCGACCCGGACCTGATTTTCCCAACCCGGCCATTTTAAACACAAGTTGTTGCAGATGAAAATGTTAGAACAAACTATATATAGTTCAACAGGGATTGTATAATTTTTATTAATCAGAATTCGTATTTATATGATCTAATTAAGAAAAGAAAAATTTTGTCTGACACCGTAACTTCTCGGCAAAACAAAACGTGTTTCTCCGAGCTCGCTGGATGCGTGTGACAGCTCCATTGCACGTGTGTAGACCAAGGCTAAAACTGGTCTTGCGGACACAGGTACATGTAGGCCTATGTGTACTGTTTGTTAGGAGACTGGGTGACCGTAATGCTATGGAATCACGAAATTTACAACAGTTCCATAATTAGACAGTGCAGTTTTTTTTATTAACGTCATTATAAACACTGTTAAACATAATAAATCTAACAGTCGAATATCTTTGGATATGGGGTAACCCATATCTATTCTTGTTACCGATCGCATTACCTCGGGGCTTTCTGTCAGAGGTCGATTGCCCTTCATTCAAAGGGGTACAAGTCAAAACGGCACCTGGTGAAAACGGCACTTAGGAAATATGCAAAACGGCACTTGAGAGTAGTCAAAACGGCACTTTAGAAAAGTCAAAATGGCACTTTTTTTATTTTGAGAATTTGATATTGTTTACACAGAAAATAGATCTTTATATTACATATATAGTAATAAATGTGTATATTATTATTGATAAAAATGTTTAAAAAATATTTAAGGAAAAAAATTGAACTGATTCATTTGAAAATTATTGTACTTAAATTTGTACAGTGGTTAGATTTTTTAAATGTTTTTCTATTTTAAATTATATATCTATTATTTTCTACAAAAGAGATCAAATCCCAATTATATTATTATATATGATACAACAGTCATCTAAAAATGTTAATACTATTGAAAACAAACTGAATTCTGATCTTAACAAGCTAGAAATCTGGTCGAAAAAATGGCTTCTTAAATTCAATCCTACTAAAACTAAAGCAATATTTTTTAGCCTGAAAAAAAGTGTTATTTATCCTAAACTTTTCTTCCAGCAAAGTCAGCTAGAATTTGTTTCTTTTCATAAACATTTAGGAATTTTTTTCTCGCAAGATCTTAGTTGGTCTACACATATTGATACTATTCTAGCCAATGCATATAAAAAATTGGGCTTGTTAAAAAAACTTAAATTTGTTGTCAACCGAAAAACTCTTTCACTCATGTACACAACCTTTATTAGACCACAGTTAGAATACGCTTCCTTGGTGTGGGGTGGATGTAATATAGGTGACAGCGAAAAATTAGAAAAATTACAATTATGTGCTGCTAGAATTGTCACAGGATTAACTCTGTTAGCTTCTAAAGATGCACTTTACATTGAAACTGGATGGGAACCATTACATGAAAGAAGGAAAAAGACCAGACTAACTACAATGTATAAAATTGATAAAAACCAAGTTCCTGAATATCTCACAGATATAATCCCTAACTTACGATGTAATTCATCAAGTTACAGTACGAGAAACTCGCAGAACTATAACATACCCAAATGCAGATTGCAAGCTTACAAATCAACTTTCGTTCCCCTTGTTATTGAAGAATGGAACTCATTACCTCTTAATGTAAGAAATTCTCCCTCGTTATCTATTTTTAAAAAGTCTATTTCTTTCAATAAACAAATGCCACCCTCTTACTTCAGTTATGGAAATCGACGCTTAAATATAATACACACGAGGCTCAGACATAACTGTGTGCTTAATAGCGATCTTTTTCGATGTAATGTAATCTTGAGTCCACTATGTTCTTGTGGAAGAGTGGAGGATACTCATCATTATTTCTTCTCATGCAAAAAATATACAGAAGCCAGGAAAGAATTTTTTGACAAATTTTTGCGAATGGGTAAATTACACACTGTCGATACTCACACTTTACTCTGGGGAGACAAATCGTTAAATGATTTTGAAAATGAATACCTATTTTCTATTGTACAAACTTTTATTAAAAAGTCAGGACGATTTGGTTGATACAATAATTATTTCTAATTGTAAATCTTATACAGCATGTCTATTACATATGAAATGTATTCTATTGAATGTGTTTTACTCTGATTACTATATATTATTATTATATTATTATTATTGTTATTTCATTTTAAGCTGAAACCCATGTATGTAAATATGTTTGGTATAATGTATATGTAGGGAGAGGGCGTAATAAGTTTTTAGAACTTTTGCCCAATCCCATTTGTAAAGTATAATCAATAAAATATGTTCAAATCAAATCATATGATCCTTTGAAATTTAAAACTTTATAGTATTGCAAATATGTATACTACTCTGTTTTGGGGGTTGCCAGTCACAGTTGACTAATTAGAAGCCAGTTAGAGCATGTTTACTTAGAATACACTTGTAGGAATGGGAAACAAAAGACCATTTCACACCTCCCCTTCAATAATCTGTTGATCGTCAATTTGCAATCATATCAGTTGCTACTATTCATCTATCGTGTATTTCTTGAAAATGTCAAATGGATTGTACACAAGTATAAAGAAAAACTTAGATAATCCTCTCCAAACTGTAAATAAAATATAAATAGCCATACAACATTTAATAATATAATAACATGTACATAGAAGAACAAAACATTTGTTTTTTCATAATGAAGATGATACAATGTTGATATTGTTAAAATAATTTCTACAGAATTAGATAGAAATGTGAGATAAAGTGACTCTTACTGTAAATATTTTTTTAAAATCATTTACACCATTCTTTTTTTCATATTATCAACACTACACTACAAATATGATTATTCTTAATCCCACATATTGTTGTGTTATAGCTTTTAAATACTACCTTAAAGCAAAATTGAAGCCACAAAAAATTCTAAAGTCAATAAATTAAATTTTGAATTAAAAAAGAACTTAATGTCAAATATATATATCATAACACAATTATATACTTTTTCCTCTAAGTGCCGTTTTAACCAAGTGCCGTTTTAACTAAGTGCCATTTTAACCAAGTGCCGTTTTGCATATTCCAGGTGCCGTTTTCACCAGGTGCCATTTTCACTAGGTACCGTTCTAACCATAATTCCATTCAAAGTACCAAATGTACTCACAGTGGACGTAGACTTTTGTTCACTGCACAAATAACAAATTTTGGGACCGTCGAAAAATTGGAGACATTTTACGTTTTATTGCCCTGTTATGGAAGATTCCAGGGGGGGGGGGGGGGGGGGGGTATATAAGAATTCTGGATGTTTCGGGACCGCGACGTTTCGGGACCCCGACGTTTCGGGACCTGACAACACGTTTCGGGACTTGGGTTAACACGTTTCGGGACTTGGGCTAACACGTTTCGGGACTTCTAAATATTTTGTTAAGAAAATGAAATAAAACTTGTTATGTTCCCCAAACGAAGTTGGGGAACATATTGTTTTTACTCTGTTTCTTATTATTATTATTATTTTTCTTCTTCTTCTTCCTGGAACTTTTTTGTCCGGGAATGATCTTGTAAACTGTTCGTCCGATGTAGGTAAAACCTTTTTAGGGTTAGTAGACATGTTATGTAGATTTGCGGAATCAAGGTCATTTTGCGCGCACGTGCTTGCAAGGGCGTGCACGTGCAACACGTGAAATGACCAATATAATAGATATAGCCACAACTGTTCTATTTTTAGATGAAATGCTTTGAAACTCATAATGTGAGGATATATTAGTAGTATAGACATGACGACATGATGAAAATAGCAAGATCTCACGCGCATGCACGTGCACTTCGCTCTGATTGGCTGCAACTAAAGTCTCAATATCTTTCTTGTTTTTTGACGAAATCCTTTGAAATTTTGAACATAGTCATGCATTAGGATATCCTACAACATGAAATAAAGCAAGTATCATGAAAACACGTGCATGCACGTGCGCTGCAATCTGATTGGCTGAAACTTTAAACAGCTATAACTCCCTTGGTTTTCAACCAAACAGGATGGGATCTGGAACATATATAGATATAATGGACTTCTACAAGTAGGTATGGTCACCATGCACATGCATACACGTGCGTGTACATGTGCTGCAATCTGAATGGCTGAAACTTTAAACAGCTATAACTCCCTTGGTTTTCAACCAAACAGGATGGGATCTGGAACATATATAGATATAATGGACTTCTACAAGTAGGTATGGTCACCATGCACATGCATACACGTGCGTGTACATGTGCTGCAATCTGAATGGCTGAAACTTTAAACAGCTATAAC